GATCCTGAGAAACCTTTAAAGGATCCTGAGAAACCTTTAAAAGATCCTGAGAAACCTTTGGAGGATCCTGAGGAATTTTTAAAGGATCCTGAGAAACATTTGGAGGATCCTGAGAAACCTTTAAAAGATCCTGAGAAACCTTTGGAGGATCCTGAGAAACCTTTAAAAGATCCTGAGAAACCTTTGGAGGATCCTGAGGAATTTTTAAAGGATCCTGAGAAACCTTTGGAGGATCCTGAGAAACTTTTAGAGGATCCTGAGAAACCTTTAAAAGATCCTGAGAAACTTTTAAAAGATCCTGAGAAACCTTTAAAGCATCAGAAATAAAACAAACTCCTTTTATTCTCAGTGAGGATGTGTCTGAGCAGCTTCACCTCCTGCTGCTGGTGGAGCTCCTCCAGCTTCTCCTTCGGTGCTTCTTTCTGCTCCCTCAGCTCCTTGATAAGCTCCATGGCCTGCAGAGAAACACCACAGATCCACCCTCAGCCGTCAGAACCTCTGATCAGCAAGTAAGAAACTTTCCTGTTCATTKAAAAACACTGGGTCCTCCCGCTGACCTCTGACCCCGCACAGGAAGTGCTGCAGCTCCAGCTGTTTACACATCAGCTGAAGGTGTTCCAGGTTTATTTGTAAAGAAATCAGGTTTATTCTTTTGCAGCAGAAACAAAATTTTTCTGAGCTGCTGTTTACAGCTGTCAAATATTTCCACACACAAAATAACGCACTGCGACCCCACATTTGTACAAAAATAAACCTAAAAAAAGAGTCAAATATATAAAARGTGAAAACTTAATAAGGAAGATTATTTGTGTCCATTTTCATATAAAGATAAGATAAAACTATGTTGGTTGTAATCTGACTGAGTTATTTCAAAACACRTCTAAATATTAAAGTGTCTGTGACATGCCTGTCCTTCAAATACAAAACGTCAAAGAAAACATCTTTAAACTTAAGAAAATTGGAATAATACTCATGATTTTACACATTTGTCTCATAAATGGCCTATTTTCTTTTGGATTTGGCTCAGTCAAAGTGAAACAGGAAGTGACATCAAAGGGGAACTCTTTAATAAAATAAACCCTCTGGTCTTTGTTTTTTAAAACAATATTATTTAAACTTTAACTCTTCTTCATCTCTCTGATAGAAACTCAAAATAATTTAAAGAAACATAAGATTCTTCTCTAMAGTCTCTGTTGTAACAACGCTCTGTTYACAKGCWGACATYCCCCTTTGACATCACTTCCTGTTTCTTCACATGCAAATATCTCAACAACTGTTCGTCTCAGYGACGTGAAATTTGTTTTGCAAAATTTTATCAATGTCCTCTTTATAAAAATGYGTTCATGTTCATTACAAAAAATTGATGTCACAGGCCCTTTAAGTTGTATAAGTTGTGACACGCTCTTTGTGTTGTTTGATCCAAATAAAACGTGAGCAGACCCCCTGCGTGGAGCCCACTGATCGTTCAGCTTCGTTACTCTTTAAACTCCCAGTTCAGTAAAAACAGTCACTCATTAACTCAACACCACTTTGAGCAAACAGCGTCACCACGGGGGGTGGTGTGTGTGTGTGTGTCAGGGTCTGATGGTGACATGTGGCGCTGGCTGGCACACGAGGGCACGCTGGGTCACAGAACCCGTCTGACCCGATCTGAGCCCACGCAGGACATGAATGATTCAGACGAGCTGCAGCATCACCTGCTCTGAGCCATTCATCCTCTGACAGCCGTCATCTCTGCAGGGGGGCTAATTACACACACACACACACCCCCATCACACGGAGCCCGGACAAGAGGAGGATCAGGAGCAGGTCTGGACCAGGACCAATCAAACTCAGACACTACACAGCAAAAACTGTCCATCTTACCAAGTTTTAAAACCTTATTTTAGCCAAAAAGTCTTTTTGATCTTGTTTTCAGACTGATTTACTAAACAAGAACTGATTGTGTAAGAATAATCATCTTGTTTTCAGAC